TGAAACTCCTTCTATATACGAGGTATGATTCTGTATAAGACTTGGCATTATGGTGGGACCGCCGAGCTGAGTCGATTACTATTGGGTATGTGTTATCCATAACACTGACACTTACGTTTTGACCAACGAGGCCCAAAGCATTCAATGAAAAAGGAAAAAAAGAAACACCTTGCTTTCAATTTAATAAGCATCTTTAGTCTAGCTCCTTTTTAGATGATGATGATGATAATAGATAATTGCTTATATAAATTAATTAAATACTATAGTAGTATATAGCTGAGAGAAATTATCAATGTGATGCTAACAAAGAATATTTGTTGAGAAAACATACTTTCAAAATATGGCAGAGGCTATCCGATGAATATGATCCATTTTCAAATGCAGCCCAAGATGCATGCCCGCGTGAATGCGCGGGCTACCTTCCTAGTTATCTTGAAAAAGGAAGAGTAAAGTTTTAAGATAAATGGTCCGAGAAAAAAAAAACGTGGGGTCCTCGTGCTCTCTAACCTGCATTCCAAAATCTATTTTGTATGTGGATGTGTTAAAAGAGATTCACTTGCCAAAATCAATTTTTACATATGATTTTCTTAGGATGTGACTACACAGCTAGTGGTAGTTAGTTTGTCTAAACCAGCTACCACTCCATCTATGAGAGATATTATCCACTTATACTTCAAATACAATTTTCTCTTAAATTACTCATCCGGTCTACGATCCGATTGCACCGTTGTGTTTGTAACAATTAAATATTTATAACAAGATCTCACATGATTATATTCTGATGAAAAATTATAAATTACTTTTATAATATATCTAAATTACTTTTAGATTTCTCTAAATTACTTCTTATACATGTAAAAGTAAATTCAATGAAGCCTAAAAGTAATTTACATATATTATAGAAGTAACTTATAAAAAAAGAAAGTAACTTTAATGAATGTCTTTTTTTTAATTGGATGTGACTACACAGCTAGTGGTAGCTAGTTTGTACTCCATTTAGTATCTCCTTTCAACTTGAAAAATACAATAGTATCTTCTTTTCTCATTCTACATGAAAAACAAAAGTGAAAGGAAAAAAACAATCGATGATTAAACAGATTTATAGAGAGTTACTTTTGAACCATGCAAAAGTTACTTCCAATTAACATTGAAGGTACTTTTAAAAATTGTTAAACTTATGTGTGTTGATCTGTGCTGATTAAATTTAATTTCTTGATAAAGTCATATTTTTATCTCTACAACGAATTTACTTCTAATGTCGTGACAAAATTACTTCCGTTTTGTTTTAAGTTACTTTTATAATAGATGTAAATTACTTTTAGACTCTATTAAATTTACTTTTATATGTCTAAGAAGTAATTTAGTCAACTCTAAAAGTAACTTATATATATATATATATATATATATATATATATATATATATATATATATATATATATATATAAAAATAGCTTACATATATAATAAAAGTAATTTACATATAAATATTTTTCATTGTAATATAATCATGTAAGATCTTGTTTTGAAGATTTAATTGTAACGAACACAATGATGTAATCGAATTGTAGATCGGATAAGTAATTTGAGAGAAAACTTTGTTTGAAGAGGAAAAGGACGTACATGTATATTGAAAAAATGTATGCATGTAGTACCACGTAGTAGCTGGAGTTCTCCACATTTCTCCGTGTTCAGGCGTCATCTCCAAATAGATTTTACGATTTTCTTAATAAGTCGTATGTGAAAATAATGGTTGCTTTTTACAGACGTTACGGTCCGTCTGTAATCTAAAAGAAGTCTCGTCGTTTATGTAGTAGTGTCACTATATAAGGGCATGTTTAGGGAGCTTCTAGCTGCTGCAGCTTCTCTCAAAATTAGAAACTTCCCAAACAATTTAGTTTTTTATATAGATTCTGAGAAACTATAGTTGTAAAATCCAAAAAATAAAACAAGAACCCAAAGCTGAAAAACCTAGCTTTTTTAAATTATCAGAAATTAACTACTAACCAGCTGCTTAAACCTATAGGATCGAACTGCAAGAACTAAACCAACCAGGGGGGTGAATGGTTGTAGTACCCAAAAACCAAAACTTTTAGCGGAATTAAAAGTTACCCTCATATCGATGTCGATCGGTTTGACCGGAGTTGATCTACCGGTCTGACCACGCCGATGCCGTCGGTCTGACCACGCCGATGTCGTCGATCTAACCGGAGTAGATCGTTCGGTCTAACCACCTGAAGATGCCGCAGTCGCCTGATCCTGCTGCTAGTCTAACTGCCGCTGTCCCACCGGTCTGACCGATGCGTTGCCGCCGGTATCCCGCCGATTGAATCGCTGAACCTGAGCAAACACAAATCGAAGAACTCTCAAAGTAGATGACAACTTTATTACTTCTCTCTGTGTTTACAAAGTGCAACAACAACACTCCTCACGAAAATCTCGACTAAACTCGAAACCCTAACTATTATCTCAACTCAATGTTCTCTAAAGCGATACCAGGAGACCACACTCTCCCTCTCTATATATACCCGAGGTAGGCAGCCTAAAGCCACGAACCAAACTTGTACAAGAAGACCTAATCCCCTAGAAAACCTTCACGTACAAGAAACTAACTTTACAAACTCCAATTGTACCAAATTTGGACTCTTTCCAAATATAACTCCGCATCTGTACGCACACAACACCTCCATCGTATGCCATATGGAATCATCACCAATCACGTGCATTGATCTTTAGCCTAAGCATCTCGCATGATATATGACCGTCCAGACGTCACCTTATCCCCAAGTTGACTCCCGATCCATCACCGGCAACACTCTCCCGAGACATCAAGATCACCTACACATGAATCAAATAAGAAACCATATTATGAGCACAAGCTATCTCCAATTTGACTCATTGCTAGCAAACAACAGAATTTCATATGCATAGTATCTATCTAGAAGTCATAAATATAATTAATCCACAGATATTCAATGAAACAACCTAAAACCGAAACCAACACAGAGTCGGCCGGTCAGACCGCGGGCTGGCCAGTCTGACCACTCGAAGCACGCCGGTCTGACCGACAACCAATGCCCGGTCTGACCGGACCGACAATCAGTAGTCCCTATTCATCACCAAAACCACTTCGCTAATAATCTTTAAATAGCGAAACCAATAATCTCATATGTCAATTGCGTGAGCGACCATAGCAGTGCAGTGATTCTCTTCTCCATCTCTTTCCCCAAAGTGCGTGAGCGACCACTTTGGCTCTGTCCGGCGGTTCGTGGATAGGCTAGTGTAGTGTCAGTACCTTCATTTGACTTATTTTTGTTCTCTTCCCTAAAGAATCAAATCAGGGACACATGTCCACATGTAATTAATGGTTCTGTCAAAGGCACGCAAGCATGCATGCATTGCCAGCCGACTTCGATCGATCCACATTGTTTTCTTTCTGCAAGCTCGCATCTTTGGATGCCCATGCACTGACCTTTCCACTGGTATTTTGACATGTGTGATACTGTGGTTACAGTTTTTTAAACAATCAATATCTTCGGAATGATATTTTCTTAGCATGTTTACAGACTGATAATGCTAAACAAATTTGAAGTCCGCCAGAAAGTTCAAAATACCTTCTGAACTATTGCAACCCTCGAAATTTTCTCACTTAACTACAAAACCCAAACATTTAATTCAACACTTAAAATTTTGACACCGAATGAATAATCCCAAACACTATTGTGAGTGGTTTCGAATCAAGCAATCCAATTGAAAAAAAAAAACATGAGACCCACCAATCATCGCTAAAAATCCTCTGCAATCGACTGCACCGTGCTTTTGTCACTAACATATGGACACGATGTGTCGTCGGACCCACATGTCAGTGACAAAGGCACAGTGCAATTGACTGCAGAGGATCCTGATCTACCGATCATTCCCCAGGCAATCCCTCTCCCTCCTCTACCACTTTGTGGAGGCAGTTATGGGCTTGCGACAGAGACTGAGGCGACAACCTACTGTGGATCTGTTGTATGGCTGTGCTCCTTCTTGAAGCGCGGCTAGCCCCGATCATGTCTCCCCACTACCTACTCCTTGACGTGCCGAACATGAGCGTGGATCTAGGGCAACACTGAATATGGCAGTGACTGCAACATGGATCTAGGATGATACCACCAACCTCCTTCATCCCGCAACATTGGTCACTCCTCCGTGGTGTCAGAGGAGTCGTTGGGAGACGAGGAGAGGGTTGGCATGGCAAGAGGTCCAAATCTACTCCGTCGCTCTTTTCCTTTCCCTATGTCTCCCCTCTCCCATGAAGGATGATGAGCGACTTATTTAGCCTATGCAAAGCACGAAGGATAAGAGAAACGTGTAGCAAAGCGAGTGTAGTACTTGTAGCGAATATGGCAACTAACGGGCTCACAGATGACACAAGTGATAGGGGAAGCTCGAAGTTGGTTGCATGCGCTCGTGGCCCTTCTCTCCCGCATTCTGCACATGACGAGCATATCTGGTGGGACAATAGGTAGTGGAGTTATTAAGGAGGAAGATGATGGAGCTCAAGGAGCAAGTGGTGGAGTCAAAGCTTGAGGAGAGGTGGCATGGGGAGAAGGCGCGGTGGAGGTAGGTCTTAGCGGAGCAGAGCTCGATACTAGGTGAGCTAGAGACGACGGTAGTGAGCTCTCTCACCATGGTGCAAATTCGGAAAGACTGACGGAGAGCAAGGTGAAGAAGAGGAAACACTGATAGGTGGGCCCTCACCGGTTGGTTGCTGATTAGCTTAGACTATCATGTGTGCATCATGTCAGACTAAAACCGTTCAAATTGAGTTATGCGTAATTCATCCGATGTTAAGAGTTGACAGATATAGAATTTTGAGTATTGGAGTTGATGGGGAAAATCGAACTACTGTAAAAGTTTAATAACGGGTATAATTGACTTTTTTCTTTTTAAATCTTGGTAAATAACCGTTGTTAGATGGACTGAACGGTAACTTATAATGACCAAGCATATCAGGATCGATCCAACAACGGAACACCCAGATCTAGTTCATTTTTATGATCACCAAATACTACAATCCTATGTTATGTTCTTGCATGGCACCATAACTAGTTGTGTTTATCTTTCCATTTTAGAAAGAAGCTGGCTATCTGAACCCATTTTAGAACGTAATCTCTCTCCAGCAAAATCCAATGACCTCCTCCTCTTCCTCAGAACAAGGACACACCACAACCACGTACCCAACAAAACACAAACCAAACAAACTTGTATTAGCCACGCTTTGTTGCTAATCATAGCCAGTTTAGCTTGTTCATCGTTGGATTCGTTCGTTTTTCCGCATGAGAAATATATAAAACTGATGCGCCGTCATCGTTGTCGCATCCATCCATCCATCCATCGATCGGAGGAGTCGCCTCGCGCCGCCGCACCGGCCGTCGACGTCGTGACCCGCGCTAGCTAGCTCGCGCGGGCGGCAATGTCGTCGGACGACGACGACGATGGGTCGGGGCGCACCAAGCTGATCATCGCCGCCGTGGTCATGCTGCTCGCCATCGTGCTCGGCACGGTGGCCTACGTGGTGGTGGACCGCGCCGGCGACGACGACGGCCTGAGCAAGCGCGGCATGAAGTCGACGATGCGCAGCGTGGACCTCTTCTGCGCGCCCACGGACTACCGCGTGGCGTGCAAGGACACCCTGGAGCGCGTCCTGGCGCGGTCGTCGGACCCGGCCGACCACCCGCACGCCGCCGCCGCCGCGGCGATCACGGCGGTGGAGCGGGAGCTGGCGCGCGGGTTCGACCGGTCGTCGGTGCTGGAGGCGGTGCGGGCGAGCAACGACAGCCGGGTCGCCGAGGCCCTCCGCGACTGCCGGACGCTGCTCGGCGACTGCCGTGGCGACGTGAGCCGGGCGCTCACCAGCATCGCGTGGCGCGGCGTGGACGCCGTGTCGCAGGACCTCCAGGCGTGGCTCAGCGCGGTGATCACGTTCCAGGGCTCCTGCGTCGACATGTTCCCGCAGGGCCCCATCAAGGACCAGGTGAGGGAGGCCATGGAGAAGGCCCGCGAGATCTCCAGCAACGCCATCGCCATCATCCAGCAGGGCGCCGCCTTCGCCGCCATGCTCGACCTCCACGCCAGCGAGAGCCACGCCGCCGAAGGCGAGGAGCTCGACGTCGACCACGACATCCAGCACCACGTGGACCGCCACCTCGAGGATCAGTCGTTACCACCAGTCCCGCCGTGGTTGTCCGACGAGGACCGGAGGATGCTCACCAGCGGCGAGGAGTTCGTCGCCGGGCTGACCCCGAACGTGACGGTGGCCAAGGACGGCAGCGGCGACTTCACCAACATCTCGGCGGCGCTGGACGCCCTGCCGGAGGCGTACGCCGGGAAGTACATCATCTACGTGAAGGAAGGCGTGTACGACGAGACGGTGAACGTCACCAGCCGGATGGCCAACATCACCATGTACGGCGACGGCTCCAAGAAATCCATCGTCACCGGCAGCAAGAACATCGCCGACGGCGTCAGGATGTGGAAGACAGCCACCTTCGGTACAGTACGCCACCGCCATTGACGACTCACATCCATTCATGCATTGATCGACATGGACATGGACATTGACATGGACGGATGGATGCAGCGGTGGACGGCGACCGGTTCACGGCGATGAGGCTGGGGATACGGAACACGGCGGGGGAGGAGAAGCAGCAGGCGCTGGCGCTGCGGGTGAAGGCGGACAAGAGCATCTTCTTCAACTGCCGGATCGAGGGCAACCAGGACACGCTGTTCGCGCAGGCCTACCGCCAGTTCTACCGGAGCTGCGTCATCTCCGGCACCGTCGACTTCATCTTCGGCGACGCGGCCGCCATGTTCCAGCGCTGCATCATCCTCGTCAAGCCGCCGCTCCCGGGGAAGCCCGCCGTGGTGACCGCGCACGGGCGGCGCGACCGGCAGCAGACCACGGGGTTCGTGCTGCACCACAGCCAGGTGGTCGCCGACGAGGACTTCGCCGGCGCCGGCGGCGGGAGCAGCAACACGTCGTCGTCGTCGGGGGCGGCGCCGAGGCTGGCGTACCTGGGGCGGCCGTGGAAGGAGCACGCGAGGACGATCGTGATGGAGTCGGTGATCGGAGGGTTCGTGCACGCGCAGGGGTACATGCCGTGGGAGGGGAAGGACAACCTGGGCGAGGCGTTCTACGGGGAGTACGGCAACAGCGGGCAAGGCGCCAACTCGACGGGGAGGATGGAGATGCGGGGGTTCCACGTGCTGGACAGGGAGAAGGCCATGCAGTTCACGGTGGGCCGCTTCCTGCACGGCGCCGACTGGATCCCGGAGACCGGCACGCCCGTCACGATAGGCCTCTTCGGTGGCTAGCTCGCTCATCCATGCGTACGTGTGTATGTTGATGCGTGCTAGGTGGGGGGTTGTGGGGTTAAATTCGTATGTACAAAATGGTTACATGTGGAGCAAGCAGAAGAGAGAGATGCATTTTTTTTTCTTTGAGAAACATAGTACTATCGCAGGAGCTCACCACGCGCGGCACTCACCCTATCTTTATGAGCACCTCTGAAAAACTAGCGGCACTCACCCTATCCTTATGAGCACCTCTGAAAAACTAGGTATACACCTCAAAAAGACTGGACCGACATATCTTGAGATGCACCTCAAAAAGATTAGGACTGACATATCTTGAAATTGATGAAATCATCACAGACGCATCGTTGTCGAGGGATACACGTCGTCTATCACTAAAAAAATAATTAGCCGTAAATACGAGTACTCTTGTCAAGTTTAGGACTTAAATCCAGGTATGTTAGTTCCAACACAAAAACCTAAACAGTTAAGCTATGCTCACTTCGTGAAGAGAGATACGCATTTGATCCAACGTGCTCGTAGTCTGACGTCATTACAAAATATACAAATATAACATTAGTGCTAGTGCTAATTACAAAACTAGTGCGCGACAGAACAACATTACAAATAAATAAATATAGAGACGAAATATTTGACAAAGTGCTTATTGTTTCGTTTTGCATGTCACCAATTTGCTCAGCCAAAATGCTACTAGTAGGTCCAACGGAGAAGCCTCAGACCGGCGGCAGTCGGTACTCGGCAGGGCAAGAGGGCTCGCTGGAGTGGAAGAAACGGCCCTGTAAACTACTATAGTACTAGTGTGCTGGGCTTCTCTCCTGGCGTGGACGGGCCTCAGGTCGATTTGATGGTCAACCAACCAGAGGACGAGGAAGTGAAAAGTACACCGAAGGTCCCTTAACTTGTTAGCGAGATAAAAAACGTCCTCGAACCGCAAAATATGCGGGGTCCCTTAACTATACAAAACCGGTCACCCTCGACGGTTTTGACGCCGGATTTATCCTACGTGGCGGCTGAGTCAGCGTGGAACCCACGTGGGTCCCACATGTCAGGATGCCACGTCATCTCTCTTTCCCCCTTCTCTCCTTTCCTCTCTTTCTTTCACTTTGCTCCTTGTCTGGTGGAGCGATGACGGGCGATGCGGCGACGACGATGGAGAGGCGGGAGAGGAGAAGAGGTCCGGCGGCCGGCGGCCGGCGACCGGCAGGGGAGAAGAACAGCGGCGAGGCGGGAGCAGGCTGGGAAGAAGAATGACGACGGCCAGGGGAGAGTGGGAGGCGCATGGGGAGTGGCGGCGCTCGGCCGGCAGGGGAGATGCCGCCTCCTGCTCCCGCATCGCCGCGCCGCCATGTCCTCCTCCCACGGGACGCCACCGCGGATGGAGAGTGGCGGCGCTCGGCCTCGTCGGCGGCGGCGCACCCCTCCCTCGATGAGGCAGCGGCAGCAACGGACATGGCGGAGAGGTGGCTTGGGCGCGGGAGGAAGGCGGCACGGCGGCGCTGGTGGTGGGAGGACAGGCGGATGAGCGCCGCCACGACGCGACAGATGTGGTCACCGCCCTCCACCGCCGCGATGCGCCCCAGGGAATTCGCCATCGCCGACCTCCTCGTGTCCTCGTGCAGCTCGCCGCACGCCGACGTGGAGGGACGTGACGGCGAAGCAGTGCTCCGGCGAGCAGGCCACCTCGACACTGCCGCCGCCGACTCCCCGCTGCTCGGCCTCGCCCCGTCGGCCGGCGGCGCCAGCCTGCCCAAAGCCAGCCGCCGCCATGCCCCGCCATCGCCATGGCTCGCCTCCTCCTCCTCCTCTCCCACTCTAGCCGCCACCACCCCCAGCCGCATCGTCTCCTCTCGCTCCTCCGCTTCTCCTCTAACGCCAGCTCCGGCTCTAGCCCAACGCCGCCGCCCATCAAGCCCTTGTCCTACACGGGGAGAGGGGGAGCGGATCGAGATGGACGCCACGCGGGCCAGGAGGAGCTTCTTCGGGATGCAGGTAGAGGGACGCGATGGCGAAGCAGCGCTCCGGCGAGCATGCCACCTTGACACCGCCACCGCCGACTCCCCGCCGCTCGGCCTCGCCCCGTCGGCCGGCAGCGCCGACCTGCCCAAAGCCGCAGAGAGAAGATTGAGAGAGAGATAGAGAGGAGGAAGGGAGAGAAGAGGGGAAAGGGAGAGGAGGGTGAGGTGTACACGTTGACATATGGGGCCCACGTGGGTCCCACGCTGACTCAGCCGCCGATGATCGTGGTAAAAGTGCCACGTAGGATAAAACCGGGATCAAAACTGCCGAGAAATCTTGGGTGACCAGTTTTACATAGTTAAGAGACCCCGTATATCTGGTTTTGCGGTTTGAGGACGATTTTGTAACTCGATGACAAATTGAGGGACCTTCGGTGTACTTTTTCCGGACGAGGAACCGTCCTCCGGGCTGCCGGAGACAGCTCGCAGGAACAGCCATAGCCCGCTGGACCATGTTCAAGGTTCAAGCACATACTGCTGCGTTCGTTTCAGCCACTTCCCAACCCTCTCCCTCGTTTTCCGCACACACGTTTTTCAAATTGCTAAACGATACTTTTTAAAAAAAAATTCTATACGAAAGTTACTAAAACAATTAAACTAATACATTTTTTTAAAAAAAAATAGCAAATACTTAATTAATCATGCGCTAATATAATGCCACGTTTTTCGTGCAGAAAAAATGGGTTCCCAACCGACTTAGAGCAAGGCTAATAATATAGCCGACCTATTGGCTATAAGGTTATTTGTAGCCTTCTATCAGCCTACCCATATAATAGTTAGCTCTTCACAATTAATATATAGTCCACTTGTCTCTCTCCCAGAGTTTATTGGTTCTTGCGTTCAAGCCGGCTGTAAGTTTACAACCCGCTTCTCCTCTCTCTCTTCTCTTCTCTCCTCCACCTCAGCATTTAGCCGGCTTATAGCCTACTACTATACTTGCTCTTAAAGGAACAAAGCTGGAAGTAGATCAATACTCTCTCTCTCCCTCTCTTATCTAGTCATCTCTATGAGCATCAGATTGACGATAAACAACGTGAAATCTGTATCAAGTCTAGCACTTAAATTCGGCTAAGTCGGTCAGTGTCATCACGAGGAATTTTAACCAGTATAGCTAGGTTTCATCACTTATTTCACAAGATTCACCATGTTTCTTACTCCGTAGAGTTCCTACGAAATGTAATCCTAACGACTCGTGTCGCTGCCACTTGGAAAGAAAAAAAAAAGCGAGTAAATTTCACCCATGCAAGGATATTTCGATAAGATTATTGGTATATCTGTCTGAGGCATGACTGTGTAAAAATACATACGTATTTGATAATATTGTTGGTTATGAAATTGCAAACTTATAAAGCTGAAGTTATGCCTCTAAGACATTAATTGTACACATTTGAAAGTAGCTTTTTTAGAAAGAAAAAAAAAATCCATTTCACTCCCTCATAACTATTTTGCCCCAGCGTTTAATATACTACAATTTACTTATTTTATGCCCTAAACTATTTTAAAGCGGTTCACTTCAGCTCCTAACACGTAGTTCTATTTTCTGTTTCTTGCTACATAAGTCATATTTTGTTCTAAAATTTGGTAGGATTGGTATATGAGTTACAACTTACCACTAAACAATATTTTAAAAATTTAATCATTGCTTGGCTTTGAAGCACTTAAGTTTGATTAAAACATCGAGATTTTGAATTAAGCTCAAGCAAACAATCATCATAAAATCTGAAAATATTTTAAAACATTGATAATGGTGTCATATATAGTTGTAAAAAGTTTCAGCTTAAAATACTACCTGCATTTTCTAATATATGATGTTGTTATATATGATGTTGTTGATATTTTTTACATCATGTTTGATTATTCGTCTTATTTAAAAAATTTAAATAAATACTTTTTTGTTTGATTTAGCACTAAGGGAGCTTTAAGCATTACTTCTATTTTTAATACTTGCACGGTTTTTTTTAATAAGGCAAATAATCAAATGTTGTAATAAAATTTAACGGTGTCATATATTAAAAAAAATAAAAATAGAGCGAGCACTAACATAAAAAATAAAAGATTAAGATAAATGTATAAAATGGTCAGTGGAGCGGTTTTAATAGTTTATCGAGAAAATGTAGGGGGAAAAAATCCTTAGGCTTAAGTGATCCGATAAAAATAGTAAAGGACGGATCTCGTCGAGAGATTCTGGTACGTCCTGGGCTCCTGGCTTTTGTCCAATGGTCTTCTGTAGCGACGATTGGGCACGACGGACCTCACCGTCAGTCACCCGGTGAGGCGTCGAGCGAAAGGGAATGGGCCCAAAGATAGTTCAGCCTGCGTACGTCTTCCTGGCCCATCTCTGCTCTGCGGAACACAACGTAGGCCCGCGGTCGCCGTCTGCCGGGCTCACACAACCATCTGTCCAACTCAACTGCTCCACTACGTTTTAGAAAAGGAAAAAGTACATCGAAGGTCCCTCAACTTGTCATCGAGTTACAAAATCGTCCTCGAACCATATATATGACATCCCTCAACTTATAAAACCGTTCCCTTTAGGTCCTCTAGTGGTTTTGACTCCGGTTTTATCTGACGTGGCGGCTGAGTCAGCATGGGACCCACGCAGGTCCCATATGTCAGCCCCGGCTTCCTCTTCCCTCTCCTCTTCCTCTCTTCCACGGGCGGTGGCGGCAAAGAGCAGCTGGGCACAACAGGCCGATGCGGCGGGCGCGGGTGGCGCGGGGCATGGCGGCGGGGATGTGGGCGACGGGTGGAGCTCCGTGAGGAGGTTCTTCGCCGCGGCGACAGAGCGGTGGTGGGCGACCTCGTCGGCGCCATGACGCGCTCTACGCGCCATACCACCTCACCGGCCATTCCCCGCCGCCCGCATCCAGCACGCGAGGTAGGGCTTCCTGCCTCCGGGCCGGCCGCCGCGAGGAGCCCTGCCCTAGCTCTCCAAGCTCGCCGCTGTGTTAGTGACAATGCACTGGATCGAACACCTCGCGTGCAAACTGTGCACGTCCGGCACGGCAACAGACAGAGAAACAAAGAAATTCAGAGCGGGATTCAGAACAGAGAAAAGCAGAGTTTCAGAGTAGCGAAAGTGAGAGAGGAATTGTTGGGCAATTTTCTGGT